AAATTTTATTATGTTTTTGAGTCTTATATATGCTGTTTTGTGTTTAGACGCCTTATAAGGGCATAGTTGTCTTTGTACTACTATTATTTTTAGTATAAATAATAAGTGAAGGGGGCGGCCAGATTATTGCTCTCTTTTCTTTTCAACTTCTCTTCTTCTCTTCTTCTCCTCTCTTCCTTCTCTCTTCAAGAAACTACTTTTCTTTCATATTTTTTAATTCTGCAGATTTCTACTATATTCCTTCCTCAGATACTAGTTCTTCCATTTCTCTTCGTTGTTCTACTTGTATTTCTCGACCACCTGACCGCTATAGTTTTCCTTCAAATCATAGCTTTTTCTCTATTGTCTCATCCTCCATAGATATTCCTTGTTCATACTTCATGCCAGCAAACCATTAGTAGTCCACACTAGAAAGAGGCCATGGATGTAGAGATTCATGCTTTACATGAGAATGACACATGAGACCTTGTGCATGCCCCTCCAAATGCCTTTATTGTTGGGAGTGAATTGAAGAATGCCTTTCTTCATGGTCCATTCATTGGTTGGATGTGAATAATTCCTTTCTTCATGGTCAATTAAAGGAGAATCTTTATATGAACCCCCCTCCTGGATATTGCAAAGATCCTTCTCTAGTTTGTAGGCTAAAGATGTCCTTATATGGGTTGAAGTAGGCTCCTTAAGCATGGTTTGAAAGATTCTGTGGTGTTGTTGTAGTAGGATACAATTAGATCTCCTTTGACCACTCACTCTTTGTCTGTAAGAGACCCCATGGTATTACTATCCTCTTATTATATGTTGATGGTATGCTGTTGACCGGGAATGATGATGAGGGAATTCATGAGCTTATGTCTCTTCTTCATAACTCCTTTCACATGAAGAATTTAGGTCCTCTTACTTATTTCTTGGGTTTGGAAGTTTGTCATAATGCTCAAGGATATTTTGTGTGTCATCAAAAATATGCCACTGATCTTGTCAAGCTAGCCAACATTACAGATGAAAAGCATGTTGATACACCTTTAGAGATGAATGCTAAGTTGTCCAAACTAGAAGACTTATTACTTCCAGATGCCACTCTATATAGATAGCTTGTGGGGTCTCTTATTTATCTCACTATGAACCGATTTGATATTTCTCATGTTGTTCGAGTTATAAGTTAGTTTGTCTCTACTCCTTGTCAGCCTAACTTAACTGAAGTCATCAGATCATTTGTTATGTTTGTGGCACAATTACTCAGTGTCTCTTCTTCTCCTCCTATTCACCCATGCAGTCGAGAGAATATGCAAATGCTAACTGGCCTGGTTGCCCAAACACTCGTTGCTCTACTACTGGGTTGTGTGTGTTTCTAGGTGATTTTCTCCTCTCTTGGAAATGTAAGAAGCAACAAATTGTTTCCAAGTCTTCTACTGAAGCAGAGTATAGGGTGATGTCTTCTATATGCAGTGAGCTAGTCTGGCTATAGTCTTTATTTTGGATCTTGGTGGTCCCATTCCTACACCCATTCCTCTCTATACAGATAATATTAGTGCTATCAAAATTGCATCGAATCCTATGTTTCATGGGAGGGCTAAGCATATAAAGGTGAATTGTCACTTTATCAGAGACATGTTCCTTGCTGGATCTATTGCTCTTTCTCATGTAGCCTCCAACATGCAGATTGCTGACATCTTCACAAAGGCAATTCTCATCCCCGACATCTCTTTCTTGTTGGCAAACTGATACTTATACCCATGCATCAGTTTAAGGGGGAGTGTGAAGGGACTTGGTATACTAGGATAGCCTTTGTTGTACACTTTATATCAGCTTTGTAGTTTTACTTTTTTCCTTTATTTTCTTTCAGCCCCATAAAGGCACTTTTGTAAATATACATAATATGTTATGTTTAATACACAAGAGGCCTTTTGGGGTGGGGTTGACTTATTTTACTTGACACCCATAGAACTGTTTTCTGCTTGCTCGTACTAGGTTGACAGGTTTTAGAATCTGGGTATTTTTACATGTGTACTCTAAGAAAAAAAATATTAACATGTTCCAAGAGAAGAAGATAGATATTGTCTCTTTGGGTGATGGGTCTACTTATGACATCACGGGTGTTAGAATGGTGAGGAACAAAATAATTGAAGGAATGATTTGCACTTTAGGATGTGTGGTGTATGTCCAAAAAAATGAATAAGAATCTAATATCACTTAGCTAGTTGGACCCCAAAGATTGCAAGGTCTTTACTGCAAGTGGAGTCATGACTTATGAAAACCACATATGGTGGCATGGTCCTAATGAAAGGTGAAAAGAGCAGGGGTTTGTATCATCTAGTTAGGAGTACAATGGCTCCCAAGACCTCAATAAGTTTCTGGAAATAGGGTGAATAGGGAAATGTGGCCATACAGAGTTTCTTTCTTATAGTTAAGGTAGAGGCAAATGCTACAAGTTTCCAAGGTACAGATGATGGTGAAAGGAAAATTCTTACTACGAGAGAAAGGTTCAAGGTCTCTCTCTTTGGAGTTAACTAGAATCGTTAACTCAAGTGCAGCTACACAGGTGCATTGGTCGCTTTATTCGAATCAGGTGGTACTAAAACTGAGTAAAGAGACCTCTTGCACTAGGATATCCCTTCTCTAATCCTTTTGTACCTTTGTTCAGAATAATATACTTCTTACTAATCAAAATAGTTTCCCAAGTTTTCTCTAATTTCAGCTCAATGCCAAGGTCTAGTAGTTCTAAAACCTCTCATTTTCTCAAAAAACACCATGGTTTTGGAACATAATTGTCATGAGGTGTACTATATCTTATGTAACTAGGTGCAAGGGTATTATTGTCCATTCACTTATTTTTATTAAACACTAATATAATAGGGTTATGTGGGCACTGCCACATACCCAAGAAAGATTCTCCTCGACTCTTCTGCTCTTCTCTTCTTTCACTCATGCTTGTTTCTTCTTTGTGATCTTTAACAAATGGCAATAATGAACTGTAGAAATAATTTACTGAGGTTTACCAAAATAACATACAAAATGGGTTCAACTATGCTACGGAAAAGACATGATATCCAAAACACTTGTGACCAATCAACCGGTATCATAAACGTATTAACCAATCAGGTGGCATTTATCAAAATTCATAGGTGGGTTTTGATTGGTCAAAGCTCTTCTGGTACCATGTCTTTCTGTTATCATAGATTTTTCATAGACTACCTGCAGTCATTGTTATATTATTGAATAAAACTAAAGAAATTATCATGGTTACAACTCATTTGTCCTTTTAATTCAAAGGTTCTTAGGGATTACCTCTTGTAAAGGGCGAGGAGGAAGAGAGTCTTGTAGCTGCTTAAGGAAACGTATATAAGCCTCAGGAAGCACATCTGCACGTGTAGACAAATACTGACCAAGTTTTACCCACAATCCTTCCAACTCTATTATCAAACTGAGAACACGCTTGGCATTGCGTTCATGAGCTCTTTCCCATAGGGAATCTCTTTTAGATTTGTTAAACCATTTCTCTCTCTGCTGCAAAGCCTTCAGTAATAACAAAAAAATAAAATATTGGTCATGCAGTTTCCTAAAGTAAGGAAGTCCGAAAATAAAATGAAGATTGCAGAAGTGATTAAGAAACAAGACAGACCTTATAGTCTAGGTAGATTATCAACGCAAGTGTGAATACTTTCACACGTCTCCTGTAGATGTTTCCCCATCCCATTAGAGTTTGTATGGTTACAGAACAGACGCAGGAAAGTCAGAGTTCGCTGATATTCGATGAAAAGTACTCCCGGTAGTTCTTCAAATTTTGCTCTCTCTGGGATCAGCAAAAATATATTTAACATTTTCAGTTAATTATATTCACTAAACCAAGAAGAACCGAAGTGTTAATCAAGGTCACATCCATCTGAAGATATATTTCAAAGAGGTTTGTCATACCTTCAGATATTTCAAGTAAACATATCAAAAGAATAACAAAAAGAAAAAACTATTAATGCAACTATAATAGAAAAGTCCGCAACTTCAGGAAGAGCACAGTTGCGGGTTTACTATGCACAGAAATCTTTGATTCCTTACAAGTTGCACAATTACATCCAGGTATTGTAGAAATTGGGAAAACGTTGGAAATACCGCAAAATCTGTGAAAATTTTCACCAAAACCCAGGGAGCTGAATACACAATATCAAGGGTATTGTTATATCACTATAAATTTCAGCAATTAATAGCCAATATACTGTAAATTCAAACTGAATTTCCCGAAAATTCCAACATATAACAATAAATTGGAACTCGATATCCTCATAAATTCAACTAATATGCCCCAAAATCCGAAACTAATTGCAGAATCACTACAAAATTCAGCAATTAATAGCAAACATACTGTCAATTCAAACTGAACCCCAGAAAATTTCTAACCTATATTAAATCAATTCGAACTCGATATCCTCATAAATTCAACTAATATGCCTCAAAATCCGAAACTATTCATAGAAGCAGAGTATACAATCTCACCTAACTCGGCGAACTCCACAGCGAGACTCGAGGCACAGATTTTAGACTTTTAACGAGATAGGTTGCGAATGTTCTCCGCGACGCAGACGTGAGATAACAAAAAGACGAATTAAAACAAAAAAAAATAAATTGGAGCTTAGAATCAAATTAATGAATTTCGATTGATTTTTGAATATAGATGAAACGAATAAAAAAATAGTAGAACCAACGTCAAAAGTTCCAAAGCTCGGAAGCACCTGCGTGACTTCGCGGGAAGGAATCTGAGCGTTGGATTGGACGAGTGACGTAATCAAGGCCGTTGGTTTTTCAAAGACGAGGCATAAAGTTATAGCCTCTCGTTATCGCTTTATTGATATTTCTAGTCTTCAAGCAAATTAAGATGGAAAGTGGAAAGTCAAGAAAGGAAACGGATAGACGATTTATGGTTCTAATTGTCTACAGTTCTACTTGTAATACTGTTGATACGCCACGTCATTTTCGTACACGTGGGGCAAGTATCAGACTGCCGTGGCATATTACAGTTGAGCCACGTGTGCTGAGAGTTGAGGATTCAGCAGACTTTCAGAATCGATGATTTGGACTTTGGAGGCTCACGGTACAGACTCACAGATTCAAGTCACCTGAGATTTACGGAAGTGCCATTTAACGTGATACGTGATTCGTAAACTAAAATCGTAAGGTTGTTGAGGAACGATCGGTCAGAGGGTCAGTCGGTCACCTAAAAACCCAACACGCCTCTTTTATTGCCAGTTGCCACTTGGCAAATTTGCCAACATTCCCAGAAATTTACATTTGCGCCCTCAAACGCCCACAGCACATCGATTGGGAACACGAACATCTCCCTCACAATGACAAATACGGGAAGTGTGAACTCCATTCCGAAACTTGGTGTCATTGTCTAACGTCCTTGAAGTAGAAATCGTAAGTGCAACGAATACGAAACAATCATTTATGCAACTTTTGCATTCTACGCCCTATATGCTCAATTGCTTATCATCAAAATGTGCTCAAGATCTCAGTAGACCTCATGGGCCGGGTCAAGCCGGATTTTGTCTATGTATTAATAGAATATATTCAAGTTCAAGCTCAAGTTTAGCTTGGCCATCCGATTTAAGTCTTGAGCTAGAGCCCAGTCCTCGTATAAAGCCCAACGTCTGGGCCTAGCCAGTTGAAAATAGAAATTTTTTCTTTTTTATTCAATAAAAAGTGTTTTATTTATATTAAAAATCTTTAAAACTTAAAAATAATAAACATCTCATTATTATTTGAAGAAAAGAGAATGACGAAGAAAAAATATCATATACATATTTTATTAAATAAAATATGTTTTATTATTTAATATATAGTATCAAGTCGAGTTCAAGTTCGGACTGAGAGCTGGAAGAGAGAATGAATGACAAGCCAAAAATGGAAATTGTGATATGAATGCAATACAATTATACAAAGCGATAGTCTATCTTTCTCCCAACGTATAAAAAAAATTCCATAGATTACAGCTTGATACGTCGGAAGATTGTATATAATTTCTATCTGCCGCTTTTTTTTAATTTTAGAAGGGTGGAAATGATGTTATTTAACATTTAGAAATTAAAATAAAAAGTCTTTAAAAAAGATTAAAATAATGCATTGATAATCTGATATATACCAATTTCAGATTTCTGATATTTTTACATTTTCCTTATAAGTAGCAATATTTTTATTAATAAAACTTTATGTGAAAAGGAGTGGAACAAGAAGGCATTCACTCGAAGATTATAGCCCGGTATACAATAACAAAAACATATAGAAATTAATAAAAAATAATATATGTATATTTCAGTCAAAAATAGCGGAAATTGCAAAAGGTACAGAATTTGATAGAAATAAAAAGAATGTATGTTTGAGCCAAAAATTATATTTCAGACAAAAAAAAAGCAGAAATTGCAGAAAATACAGGAATTGATAAAAAACCACAAAATATGTTTTAGACAAAAAATAGAGCCTTGGAAAAAAAAAACAGAGAAATTTATTAAAACTAAAAATATTGCTTTAAAAAAAAAGAGAAATTCAATGGAAACTAAAATCTTATTGACCAACTTTCCCCTCTTTCAAAATCTAAAAAAAAAAAAGGAATATATTCATAGAACTTTTTTTGTAGTCGATGGATCCAGGAACCTTATAAAATAAATATGGATACTTCAATGATCAAACAAAAAAAAAAACAGATTGTCTAGTGTTTAGAATTTAAAACTAATAAACATTCTAATGTAGCATTGGCTGCATGCAACCCCAATGAAATAAGAATACATCATTGTTTAAATAAAAATTAGTTTATGTAATGTCTTAAATTTATTTAAAAAACAGGTATTACACCATTTGAGAATGGTCACATAATCAGGTTAAACGACAGTTTAATATGCATTATGTAGTTTGAAGTCGGAGCTATTGGCTACAACACATTGCTGGTTATGTTCACACAACTGCACATTAGACTTCTTAGTAATGTAAAGGATTACCGATATTCCCGATGTGCAGTTGAATAAATCTGAATATCAACATTTTTTGGTCAGTAGGTCCTAAATCGTTTGATGAAGAGGCCAAAATTTTTCAAAGCGAATGGTCATGTCAGTATTTTGTGAACTTTATTTGGTTCTTGATCGATTATGGTTGGAGAAAGCATCCAAGTTATCTCAAGGTAAAAGCTCTATTTATATAGCATTGAATGGCACATTAGGAATATCTCCCGCATATTGATTCTCATTCTCAGAGTTTCTACCTGCACAACATTTGGTCGGAAATTTTAAATCGTAGACCGTAAAATTAATGGAGAAAAAAACATCTGGTCGGAAATTGGAATGGCGGATCAACAGGAAGAGGAATAGTGATTCTTACCGTTTCAATGGAGAAAAAAACAGTGAGTAGCGACGACAAGCGAAGTAGCAACAGCTCAATGGTGTTGGCAATGGAGGAGGGCGAAGCAGCAACAGCTCAATGGTGTTGGCAATGGAGGAGGATGAAGCAGCAACAATGGAGGAGAATCAATGATTGAGCCGATGATTAGATCAAGCAAAGCAGCAAGTTAGAGAACCAACGGCAACAAGATGATGGAGGGTGATTTGGCATGACCTCGTAATAAGGGGACACGTGGATGTGATTCGACATAGGTGACAACTCGGCATAGTCAGCTCGCTACAAAGTAATACTCCACTACCGCGAACTAAAATTCTTCGAGCTGAGATCACCCCGAGCTAAGGGTACCTCGGTACCAGGTCGCGGCACCAGTACCTAATTCAGTTCGAGGTGTACGAGCCTTAACTCGGGAACATCAATTCAAGGGGAAACCAGCTCGGGTGTGCCAATCTGCCCTCGATGTAATCCCGAAATTCACTCCAACGGTTCCCGAATTCCGCGGGATCACGCCTCGTAACAACTAAGCATTATCTCCCCATCCGATCCGGGCAGAAGTGATTAGCCTTATCCACTGATAAATGTTATCTCCAGATAACACGGAAACAGATTCTATCATGGCAAAGATCACGGAACTACTTCGTAAAGCCCGCGAGGACTCTATTATATAAAGGCCTCCCTCTCGGGGCCCAAGGTACGCGCAATTACTGCTTACTAGCTCTCTTGCTCTTTAATTACTCTCAACTCGCATATACTAACTTAAGCATCGGAACAACCTCGCCGGATAAACACTCCCGGGTTCTCTGATTCTTTTTGTGCAGATTCTCCACGTCTGTCGTCCACTAAAAGCCAAGTCACCTCCAGCTAGGAGCAGCCAGATTGCAATGTATCAAAGTGGAAGAGGAGAAACGCAGTGTGATTTTTAGAGAAGTAGAACGGATTGGAGGAGAAACGCAAAGCCGAGAGGTGATTTCTAGGAAAAAAGTAGAAGAGACACTCTCAACCTTATATGTTACTGGGGGGAAGGGGAGGCAATTTTGAGATTTTCCTTTTTTATCCACTTACCCTCCACTCGGGAAACCAATTTACCCGAGTGTCGCAAGGGTATCGTTTACCCGGAGAACTGATGATACTCGGGAAAATTAAACTTACCGTGGGTCCCATATGATTTTAGAATTTGAACACTGGCCAATTGGTCAATGGCATTCACAATCCCATTTACCAAACTTTCCCCCTTCACTTCACGAAAAACGAACATGGCCTAAAAGGCTCGTTTAAAGACAAACACAGAAGGTTGGCCGAGGTGGTGTGCTGTTCAGACTCCCTCTGGTGATTAATAGTTTAAATGATGCTCGTTCTCCTAGTTCTTCGATATCTGCATTTGGCATTCCTCATTAGGAGATAAGTGAATGCCAAATGCAGCCTTATTATCTTCTTTTTGAAATCCAGGCCCTGAAAGTCAAATTTCAAGATCTCAGTTTTGTTTATATTAACAGACGGCTGAATGATAATGCGCATTGTTTGAAGAAGTATGCTAAACGAACTCTGCATGAGTTCTTTGGTTTGATCATCAGCCTACCTGGCTGCTGGATGTTGTGAACCTTGTTTCTTTTGGTGGTTAATATAGTTATTTTATACAAGGTTCTAAATACCTACACGGGCCGATACACTGGTAGGGCGGCATATCGGCCCATGATGGTACATTTTGTTTTTAAGTTTCATTTGTTTTCTTTTTCGAAACCAGTTCAGAGGGGCCAGTTTAAGGTCTGGCTACCCTCTGAACCAGTGGCTGACCCGATACAACCCCTGAAGGGGCATATCAGTAAGCCATTGGCACAATACGTATCGGCCGGTACGGGCCGATACGATACTTTGAACCTTAATTTTATATAGCAAAAAAAAATACTATACAAGCTTGAAAGGGATCACTGACGTAAAAGGTATCTACTGATATTCCATTAAGTATAAGATCCAGATTTGTCTAAAATTCATTTCACTGAATCAGAATGCAAGACAGGGCCTAAATAAAGTAGGCAACACTTGTTTCTAGTTTACAAAAATGTACCATTTCATTCCATTCAAAAAAAAAAAAAGTGTACCATTTCATGCAATTCGGAAATATAAGGCAAACAAATAGGACAATTGAGATGGAACAAAATTTGCTTTTCTTTTGCTGCTAAATTTCAGAAATCCTCCAAAAGCACCACTACCGTAAACATCTTAAAGCTTACAAGCTTCTAAATCTAGATTTACCCCTCAAAACTGATCAAACCCAAGCTTTAAATACAGATGAAAAATGAACTGATCAAAACCGAGCTTTCCTTTTGCGGGCTGTGTATTTTGTGTCAGGAGGTACCATGTTCCCTTTTCTTCTCATCTGTTCCTTTTTCTTGATAACCCATTCTCTTCCCTTAACCTTCTTTGTTGTCTTCAGTTTCTTCCTGGGGCGATGCCTATCTGAAATGCAGACCTGGATGCCAGAAGTATTTTCAGCATCATTACTAAAAATACTAAATAAATGAGGTGTTGTAGAGTCTATTGTCTCCAAACCCCTGCAAAACAGTGTTGAATGGACTCTCCTAAATGGATGACATGTGTTGGTTACACATCCAAGTATGATACTCCATGAATTCTTGAAAGCACTTGTGTGTAACATTTCCCATTTATAACATGAAAATGATATAAATGAACAGCTAATCTATAAGATGAAAATGATGTATCAAATGTCACCTAAGCTGTGTTTGGTTGCATTACATTGCATGTGAGTGTAAAAGGACCAAGTATAAATTCTGGTTTATTTCAGATTTTGGCCAGTTTTCTTTGTTTGTAAGTAAACTAAAGTGACCTTCACTCGGAGAATGAAGGTAGGAGGGTTATCCGTCTAGGAGTATGGTAGGATACAAGATGATGTGACCTCACTTTATATGAGAAAGAGTTGAGGTAGAAGGTGGTGCAAATTTTGCATCACTTTTTGGTATGCAAAATTTACACTGCCAATGAATGCAAAATAGACAAAAAGTACAAATTCTGTATCAGGTAGCAATGCAAACTATATTTATGAAAAAACGAAAGCAAAACACTGAACAGGCTACAAATCTTGCAGCTGGTCAAAATTTGCACAGCAACCAAATGCAGCCTAATTAGTGACAGCCTGGCAGGCAATATTTTTGTAAGTATCTAACGTTAGAATTCAAAGAATATGGAATTCTTTTAATAGTATATACTTTTCAGTATATGTGTCCCCAGTCCATGTTTTCTCATTTTGCCAAGTCAGACTCCTGGACACATGTCGGATTCCGACTCCCATGTCCATGCCCATGCAACACTGCTGCAAACAGATTATCTCCTTGATTAATGAGCCATACCACCAAGATAATATTTGACCAGATGATGGCTTTTTAATCAAATAGAGTATATCAATTTGATTTGACCATAGAATTTATTTAAGGGAAAAGGATCAAGCAGTCTGCAAATAAGCACATCATACTCCTGATGTACCAAATAAGTGTCCACTTCCTTGAAGAGTCAATTAAGTGGAGCTTACCGTCTGATTATCCTCATCTCCACTATCATCATCAGAACAAGTCTCTCCATCTTCACCTTTCCCGCTGGGAAGGGCCGTGCTTAGGGATGGTGGACCACAAGTGAGGACAAGGTATTCCTTCCTGCTCTTAGAACTGTCATGAAGATAAATATTTAGGCCAGAGCCATTTAATTTGCAGGTTCATATCTATGGCAAGAATCAAGATCAAAGCAAAAATCAGTGTAGCTTTAATAAAAAATTTTCAAAAAGATTTGCCCATCATAAAACACATTAATAGCATGAATCAAATATCCAGAACGGAAATTCTATGCATCTTTAAAATTAAATGATTTTCTTAAAAAGTTTGCAAGAAAATATTAAATCATTTAAATTGCATGTCACATCACCAGCATGGAAAATAGACATGTTACATTTTGAATTCCCAAAAGCTACTATAACAAAAACATACAAGAATAGGAAACTGACTTTCCCATTCAAAATAACAAGAGCTCCATCCTTTCATTCTCTCACCTGTATCTTTGTTGCATCCAAAATAACAAGGGCTCCATCTCTTCATACCTTTCTCTTCCTCTATTCTTTCATTAACTAATAGAAACACAGTCTCTGCATCTCCATCTTATATTAACAGAGTAGAGGTTTATTCCCTAGTTTTTCAGTCATATAATTCTCAATGTGTTTAGATCACTTTAAATGTTTTCTAATTGCTGTACCAACTAGTGAAACAAGTTAAAATTACCCAAGTTTCTATATGAAAAAATCATCATCTAGATAAGTGTTTTAAAAGGCATGGGAGGTGTACGCTTGGAGGTGTGCCTCCAAGCAAGGTGCTTCCAAAAAGCCCCGAGGCGTAGGCTAGAGGTGCTGACACCTCTGAGGTGTATGCCCCAGGTGCAAGAGGCGTACGCTTCATGCGCTTTTTCCATGAGGTGTGCTAGAGGCATACGCCTCATGTGCCTCATGCACACCTCATATAAAAAGACTGAAAAAAAAGAAAAAAGAAAAAAGAAAAAAGAAAAAAAGGAAAGGAAAAGAAAAGAAGAGAAAGGGAAGGGAAAGAAAAAGAAAGAGAAGAAAAAGAAAAAAGGAAAGGGAAGGGAAGGGAAGAAAAGATAAGAGGAAAGAAACTAGTGCTATGCATCTTTATTCTTCTTAATATAAAAAAAAAATTATTAAAAATAAAGAAAAATGAGATTCCCCCTTCCTCTTTTTCCTCCTGACCCCCCTCCTCTTAAGGAGGCTTACGCATCTTTGTGTTTGGGAGGCTTATGCCTCTTACGTTCTGAACTATGCCTCACACCTCACGCCTCCACATTTTAAAACATTGCCTAGATGATGCCTAGGAAGGGGCCTAGCTAGATGGGCTACAAGGCACTCCACTGTTGTACAGCCTCATAAAATTTTAACTTTTACACCAGTAATGTGTAAAATAGATGTATATAATAAAGAGAAAACTAAAGAAGAGAAATCCTTAATTCCCTACAAAAAGAGAGGAATTAAGATAAACAACCCTTGGAAATGAGGGCTTAAAAAGTGCACAACATACAGAACATGAAAACATAGACTCTAACCCAGTAAGATAGGTCCACTAAGTGACAAAATTGAAATTTTATCCGCTTCAATCAGGAAGCTAGAATTAGCCAATGATGTAGTTTCTAACTTTTAATATTTCTTTTATCAATGAATTTTTATGGAAAAAATATTCTGACAAATAATTAATAGAACAGTCTCCTCAATTGAGCATCTCCTTAGGTTAATGGCATTTCCCCCCTACACCAGCTGATTGGATTGCACCTGAAATGAACTAACTTTATGATAGTAATAAAGAATATCATATGGATCAGAAGTGAGATGGCATACCCAGATTAGAAGTTTATTAAGGACAATATGACAATTTTTTGCTATATAGTTGCTTGATCTGCACCTAAGATATTATTTAATGGTGAAACAGAATAATAGATAAAAAGGATGGCATTAATAACAGATACTTTCTTCCATTTTTTTTGAAGATAAATAAAGAAAAAAATTATAAGAAAGAGACAAGATAGGAGATTACAATGGGTGATCAGGAATCAACCCCCAAAAAATAAGAAACCAAAACACCCTGCCACCCCAAAAATTCCAAAACTATAATCACAAAACGACCAAAACTCTCGAACCACCCAATTAAAGCCCAACATTGTCCATGCGTAAACTCCTTACTGAACCCCTCCTCATATTACCCAAACACCTTACAAGCAGACAGCGCAAAACTCCCCTTCCACCTACCGAATAAATCCCCCTTAACCTTGCAAAAGCCTTTGATACTGGCACAACTTGGAAATTTTTATGTTGTTTGAACCTTTTAACTGCATTGGGCATGTCCTTAGCACTCCCCCCTTCATCCAGCCTTTCATAAATTCTTTCAAACTCTTAAACTGCGTTCTGCTAAAACAGTTGCTCTGCTGTTAAAACCATGCCCATCTCCTCCTCTGTAACCTTAGACCTCTCTTCAACAATTGCACTGTCCTCACAATTCTTCCAAAGACCACCAGGAATTTCTTCTATTTCCTCAAAGGCTTTTCTTGCAAATTCCTCTCTTCCCATGAAAAAAAGGCCCAGCTTTTTACCCACCCCCATCTTGATGTTAATAATTGCTTCCAGATCAGTTTTCTTCTCAATTTCGTGAACTTCATCCAACATAATCACCTCTTCCTCCTCTTCATTTTCAACTTCCAATTATCCATTGCAAGGTCTTTTTCCTTTGATAGCCCCAAACCTTTCCAATTCAACCCTTCCTTCCATTCCATTAATTAAATCCTTCTTCTGCTTCTTCCCCAATCTGTTCTCATTGCTTACTTTATTACTTAATATCTTTCCTGCCCCTTCCTTTTCCTTTCCTTTCAGCCTTACCGTATCATTTTCCTCTGTTATCACTGAGAGAAACCTGTATCTCGTACAAAACCTCCGCTGAAAACCCTTCATTCCTTTAAACCTCAAACCCCTTAATCTCGACTGACCTGATTGCAGGGTTCCCCATATCCTCCCATCCCATCCATCAGTGTCTAGTCGAAGAGGAAGACGATGGACCAGAAGAAATGTCCAACAACCCCCTCCTGAAAAGTCCACTGGATCACTTAAAATCTCATGTGCCTCCTTTATGTTCAACAGGTTACATACATTTAACCCAACATCCAGCCCACCCTTTATGGGCTCCATCATAGTAGGCCCAACTAACTCAATTGGACATCCTCCCATGTGACCATTTAAGCCATTACGTGAAGATACCTGATCCAAATCGAAAGCCTGATTGGAGTCATCCACCTGACCTATCTCCAATTCCTCTCCCTGTCTCTTAGACTTCTTGTTCTGCCCTTGAACCTCGTGCACATGCTCTGGAACATTAAATTCCATTTCTTCCTTGCACCAATGAATAAGATCTTGGGTTTTTAACCCAATGTCTACCTTGCTTCTCAACTACCTTCCCCTCCCAAATTATTTCTTACTTCCATCTCATCTTTCTTTTCCAAACCCCCACCTCCACGTATCGCCCACCATGCCTCATCATCATCTTCAAGCTTTCTCCCACAGCACCAAAGTGTTGCTTGAGCTTCTGTTGCCACCCACACTTTCCTCCAAAAACTTTCAAGAAACAGATCAATTGAATGAGGACTGACCTCTGGCTTTGAACCTGAGATTTTGATTCTTGCTGCATGAAGATCCGTCACATTCACAGCCTCCAAGTTTCCCCCACAAGCAGTCACAATCATGTCCAGAACTGGTTCAGTCCAACAATTGAAGTCCAGTGATTTAAAAGGCACGCCTAGGTGCACAGGTGAGGCGCATTTTAGGGCATGCGCCTCGCCTAGGTCCTAGGCACAGCCCTTTCAAAAGGCACATGCCTGGTGCGCCTAGGTGTGCGCCTTGCACCTCAGCCCAGGCATGCACCTTTTGAAAATTGGACACTTTTTTGCTTTTTTTGAACCTAGCGGCTGGGTCGGGGTGGACTTGTTCATTCATTCATCCTAATAGAATATCTTCTTAAAAAGCAATTAAAATTATAAAATCATTATTTTTGTGTGAGAACTAAGAATTTAAGACCCTAACATGGACTTGTTTGGGCTTGCCTTGAGGGGCATGGCACAAAGGTGGCTCATAGAATCAGGAATATAATATGTTTTATATCACATTAGCTACTTGAAGTAATGCAATTAAGGAATAAAAGAAATTGTGGGAATTACATGCTTGGAAATGATTTATACGTTTGATTTTATTTTTAAATTCTCATTTGAATACACTTCACATGTTATGCTTATGTATTTTAATTTTAGATAATAGGTTTTTTAAAGCACTTATTTTAAAATTTAAGTTTATATTTTTTATTAATATTATGTTTAATATTTTTATACTTTTTTTACATTTTTTGAATTTTTTGGCACTTTTTTATTTTTCTGACATTTTTTATTTTTGTGCCTTGCTTCAAAAAGGCACGCGCCTCGCCTTGCGGCTTGTGCCTCGGGTGCAAATTGGCCCCTAAGCCTTGCACTCTTAAAACACTGAGGGAGTCCCAAAATCTTCAACAGAAAGGTTCCATCTACTGTTTTTTTGTTTTTTAATTGCAGAATGGAGACCGACTTTCCACCACCACAATTCCTTCACTGGATTTGGAGCTTACCAGCATCCAAAATCGCTTTATTCTTTTTGAAAGGCATGAGAGTAGCATTCTCTTTGGTCAGAGTCTTCATCAGGTTGCTTCTCTGTTTCCTCATTTTTCAATGCTTTGTTGACTGATACTAATGTGGTTAACTCTTTTCCTGCTAGAGAAGTGTGGTATGCTCCAATACCCCCATAGTCTTTGCTTGAACAGTGGTGAGATGGTAAATCATCTACTTTTATCTCATTCATCAAAAAAAAAAAAAAACCATCTACTTTTATCCTGTCCTTTTGCTACTCATGTCTGGGAGTGGTTCTCTTCCTTCTTTGATTGCAAGTGGAATCCCCCCTCAAGAGTGGCGGAGCTGTTGATTCTAGTTTTTTCCAACAACAAAAGAAGCGGGGAAGGGTGATGTGGAGAACAATGAGAGCTGTTGATTCTAGTTTTTTCCAATAACAGGATTTTCCAAGGCCAAGAACAAGTTATAGAAGGCATTACCATCAAGGTGATACATTGGCTGAAAACTATGGACCTCTTCAAGGATTTTTCTGCAGATGACTTGCTTAGAGGTTGGAACATAGTAGCAGGCTCTTCCATCCCTCCTACTATTGTTAATGAGGAGTGGACCCCACCCTAACACTTTTCTGTGAAACAGAACTTTGATGGAAGTTCTATGGGAAACCCTGGTCCTTGGAATCGGGGGTGTGATTAGAAATTTGGAAGGAAGAGTTTTGGCCCTTTTATCTGGCCCTTTAGGGGTGGGTGACTCACTAAGAGCAGAAGTAATGGCGCTCCTTCAAGGGCTCAGATTGGCTAAACAGTTGGGCCTCCAGTTAGAAGTGGAAGGGGATTCAAGATTAGTCATAGGCTGGATGCAAACAAGGAAAATTTATCAAAAGTGAACAAGGAAAACCAAAAAGGAGCATAAAGGTGAAGAACCAACACAGTTTCTTGATGCCATAAAGATGACTGAGACTGTTTAACCTATAGCATACCTGTGGGGATAATCAACCACCACGCCACCTGCAAATCCAGCACGCATAGCAAAACCTAGGATCAACTCACGCTGTGCTAAGTTTTCAGGATATACTTGCAACACTGCTCTTGCTCCCCTTGCTAAACATCTATATAATGATCCAAAGAAAGCCCTGCAAAAAGATTATGCCCCATTCATTATGCCTGCCACAAAATATCTTTCTTGATTGGGAGAGGAAAATATTGGCTCCATGGTCAGAAAAAGCATACTTCAATCTCAATCTTGGATTGTGAGAGGATTTGTCAGCATTGCATAACCACTGCTTAATTCAAAACCAGAAAATGATCAAACTCAATGACAGACAAATGGGAGAATTGCAACATCAATCAAAAAAATATTCAAAGAGTAACCACTTAATATTTCTCCAAAGGAAACTAAGGATTTTTGCATTGAAATCTAAATGAGCCATAAGACATTTGGTATGATTTACAGCTCACAGGTAGAACTTTCAAAATAACACTTTTGGACCAAGATTTTGAAAACTCGAATGAGTTCATTTAGTTACATTAACATATAGAGTAATTCTTTTTAGAAAACATTGACATAGTAGGTATGTGGACAGGGGTATTCTTGTCTGTGTACCTTTTTATCAATAACGGAAAATTTCATTAATAACTAAATCAGAGAACATTGGAGACATAAAAGAGGAGAGGTAACGCTTCTTAACTCTGCTCAAAAACTTAAGAGATTACAATTGAGACCAAAACAGTTGACTTCTTCCCACCCCTTTCTTTGCTAGAATATCAGCAAAGGCATAGCAGTTCTTTTAACCCAACTAAGTCTCACATCCATATCTTGTGTCATCCACTTGAATTTCTTTCTTTCACTATTGTAACTCCACAGTCCAGCTTCTACCTTTTGCAGCCATTCCACTACCAGCTTTGAATCACCTTCTATAATCAGCTTACTTAAGTTCATATCCTTCGCCTTTTGCACTCCCTCCATAACAGCCATAATCTTAGCCTTTAATGAGTCCCCTACACCAATTGGGCCTGAGAAAAAACCAATAATTCTGCCTTCACCATCTCCAAGAACACCTCCAATGCCAAAAGGACCTAGGTTACATGCACTACTCCCATCAAAACTAAACTTACTGTCATTAGCTGGTGGAGACCATAAGGGGCTTGTAGTAGACTTAATGATGGTCTGAACAAGCCACTTCCATCCAGTTTTTCATAATGTCACCTGTTGAGAAATCAGTAAAGAGCTCCAAAGATTTCCCCCCATTGAACCACTCTAATCATGATGGTGCCTATGGTTGCCTCTTTTCTTCTTTCCTTATCTGAAAAAAATTCTTGAATTCCATTCTTCCCATACGTCCAGCTCAAAGAAGCCCTTAAGCATTTCCACATTATCCTTCCCCTTTTCTTTGGTCAACTAAAGAAAATAGAGGCAAACAAGCCTTGCACATTAAGCGGGGGAGTCCACCTACACCCAAAGAGAGAGAGAGAGAAACCATTTCCAAATATAGGTTACAAAGGGGGCAGGAGATTAATAAGTAAAAGAAAGTTTCTCCATTAACCTTGCATAGAACACACTAGCGTGGGGATAAGCACCAATTAGTTCTGTTCTTTAGCCTAGATCATAAGTATTTATTCTTTTCAGGAAGACTTCACAACAGAAACCTCCAATTCTTTAAGGGATAAGTTTACTCCAAACCTCCTTTATAGGGAAAGGATGCCCCAAATTATCAACGGGTTGAATAAAGGCCTTGAAGAACGAAGCAAAGGACAAGGTACTAGTGGAGGTGAGGGTCCAAATACGGCTGTAAGTTTTAGAGGGAGCCAAAAAACTCCCCTCAAAAGTATTTATTCTTTTCAGGGAGACTTAACAACAGAAACCTCCAATTCTTTAAGGGATAGATTTACTCCAAACCTCCTTTATAGGGAAAGGATGATGCCCCAAACTAATAAAGGGTTTAATTAAGGTCTTGAAGAACGTGGCAAAGGAAAAGGTACTAGTGGAGGAGAGGGTCCAAATATGGCTGTAAGTTTTAGAGGGAACCAAGAAAATCCCTTCAAGGATACAAGGATATGAAGCAAAGCCAAAACACAATTTCATTCGGAATCCCTTACACCCCTTCTCAAACCCAAGTCCCAATCAAAACAATTTCTTGAACTAAATGGAACAAGGAAAGTAGAGACATGCTCATCTTTGTATCTTGAAAGGGAAAACAAGGAGGGAAATTTGTCTTTCAAAGGACGGTTCCCCACCCAAATATGTTCCTAGAATTAGGGTTTCCAAAACATAGATCATACCAATGTTTTAAAACGCGAAGTCGTCACGCGAGGCGTGAGACGTAGTTCATAACGTAAGTGGCGTAAGCCTCCTGAACACAAGGAGGGGAGTGAGGAGGAAGAAGAGGAAGGGGGGATCTCATTTTTCTTTATTTTTAATAAAAATCTTCTATATTAAGAAGAATAAAGATGCATAGCACTAATCGAAGGGGCCGGGGGCAGACCACTTTCTTTTCTCTTATCTTTTCTCCCCTTCCCTTTCCTTCTCTTTCTTTCTTTCTTTTTCTTTCCCTTCCCTTCCCTTTCTTTTCCTTTCCTTTCCTTTCCTTTTTTCTTCTTTTTTTTTGTCTTTTTATATGAGGTGTGCATGAGGTGCATGAGAAGTACACCTCTAGCACGCTTCATGAAAAAAGCTCGTATGAGGTGTATGCCTCATAGGTGTTAGCGCCATTGGCATACGCCTCAGGGCGTTTTGGGAGTGCTTGCCTAGGGGCCTACGCCTCCCACGCCTTTTAAAACACTGGATCATACCTAACAAAAGGTAGGAAAAAAGGCAAAATAGCTTGGATGGCCTTCCACGAGGAAGTTGTTGTAGCCCTAGTCAATACATCAACATCCCATCAGTCCACTACAAAACCATGAATGCTTACCACTACCTTAGCCCAAAGTTTATCCTTATCCATAGGTAGTCTCCAAGCCACTTCCCCAATAATGATACATTCCTTTTTTTGTAAATTACCTATGCCTAGACCATCAACTCCTTGCTTCTACTAACCACTTCCCATCTAACTTTATGGTTCTTTTTCTCCTCCCCTATCTTCCACAAAAAGCCCCCCATCCGACATCTTAAATACAGATATGCAATAAATAGGCAAACTATATAAAGTGGATCTTATTAAAGCAATCCTACCTGCTAATGACAAATAGCTTTTCTTCCACGAGGCAAGTCTTTTAGCAAACCTATCCACAATAGGATCCTAGAAACTACTCTTCTTTGGATTTTCCCAAGAGGTAAACCTAAATATTGCAATGGCCATTCATAGGCCCTCACATCCAATTGCACACTTTGACCCTTTATTTCAAATCAATAGCCACCATATAACTTTTATCAATATTCACTTTTAGATTTGAGATCTATTCAAAAAGTTGTACTATTAACTTAAGGTTCTTGACCCACCTTCTACTCCCTTCCTAACAAAACAACATTGTGTCATTTCCAAATTGCAAATGTGTAATTGGAATCCCATCACGATCAATTTTTTGTCCTCTCACTAGACCTTGTGAATCCACCCTAGAAATTATTTTCCCAAGGACCTCAACAATTAGAGTAAAGATAAAGGGAGAGAGGGTTCCCTTACCTAATTCCTCTTAAATCCAAAAAGAAGTCCACCACTATTCCATTCACCAGTATACAATAATGACAAGTCCTAATGCACCCCATTATCTACTGACACCATCTCTCCCCAAATCCAAAGCTTCTCATTGCTTCCAATAAGAAAAACCAATCCACCATATCATAAGCTTTTTCCAAGTCCAATTTCCAAACTAAGCCATTCTTTCCTTCTCTTTTCATCTCCTCCACACTCTCATTCTTCATAAAAGCACCATGATTAGGTGAAATCACAATATGAAGAGCTACCCTAATCCTCAAGGATAGAAAAAGAAGGGCAGCCCAATGCATGAGGCTCTTGCCAATGCGGGGTTTAGGAAGGGACAAATGTACATAGCTTAACCCTACGCATACAAAGAGGCTATTTCCGAGATTTGAACCTTGGTCACCCATGTCAAAATGGAGCAAGCCAACCATTGTGCCAAGGCCCACCCTCCATTATTTTATATAAACTCTTCACCAAGCTAATGGGACTAAACTCTTGAGGATGGGTTGCATTAGACTTCATAGACACCAAGCAATAAAAGTTGAGTTCAAACCTAGTTTTATTACTCCTCCCTCAAAGAATTCATTAAACACTTCATGCAAATCATCTTTCAAAATGCCCTAGCAATTTGATAGAATGGCATTGTACCCATCTAGCCCAAAATCTATCTATAGAAAACACAACCTCCCTGATTTCCTCTATCTCAAAACTCCTCTCCAACCAATCCTTGAGTTCACAAGATAAACTCGGCCAATCAAGGCCATCTAGTCACACTATCATTCAAGGGTCTTCTAGAAATTGATCTAAAGTGCTCTTTGAAGGCCCCAACTACCTCATTTTGTTGCGTGATTGTTACACCATCCACCACTAATCTTGAGATATGATTTTTCCTTTATCTACCATTTTGTTATGTGATTTGTCACCCTCAACCCATTTATGCCTTGATTTTTGCCTCTAGCTAATTTCCTCTTTATAAACTTGAGTGACTAGGGTTCAAATTTTGGAAACAACTTCTTTGTATGTACAGGGATAAGGTTGGGTACATTTGTCCCTCCTTAGACCCCGCTTGGTGGGAGCCTTGTGCACTAGGCTGCCCTTAGAGGATATCTTTCAGTTGCTTCCTCAAAGACCATCTTGCTTCCTTATCCCTTTCCACAAATACACCACTCCCTTCTTATCCAACTCCTCAATTTGAGTAATCACCATATGCTTCCTCTCTTCAATCCTCCCAAATTGTTGAATATTCCATTTTCAAATCTTAGGGCATGTTTGTTTCTTCTTAAATCTTATCTTTTAAGAGGAATCTTATAGTGTTCATTTCCTCTTATCTCTTATCTCTTAAAGATAAATCTTACAACTTTTTGTTTTCTAATGATACACCAAAAACACAAACAAAAGTTCTCATATATGGGGTTAAAATTGACATTTGACAATTTTCAGAATTCAGAACACCATTCTCTTTATTCAGAGTTCAGAGGAACGAAAAATTCACCAGTGTAATTATTGCACTTTCAGATGTCAGACGTTAGAGCAAACAAACAGGCCCTTAGTCTTCAAAAATTGCAACTTCCTATGGAATCTCATTCCTTTCCATTTTACTCTTGGGTTACTCTCCCCCCACCATTCCTTAATCTTTTGTACAAAGCCCGAATGACCTACCACATGGTCTCAAACCTAAAGGGAGTTCAGCCTCTCCCACGTAGCTCCTTCCTACAAATGGAGATTGGCCAATGACCCAATGTTACCAATTACCCTAGGTAGAGATCTAGACACTAAACCTCCCCAATGCTCTTCCCAATCCACCAAGAACAAGAACCTATCCAATTTAGAACAAACTGGGTTGGCTTGGAGGTTGGACCAAGTAAAACCACTATGTAAGAGAGGCAATTCCTTAAGTTCAAAGGTATTTATGAATTGGTTAAACCTTCTCATATAGCAGTGCTACCTTGTCTCCTGTTATTTGTCTCTTTAGTGAATCTGATCACATTAAAATATCCACCTATACACCAAAGAACCTCCTAAAGTCCTCTAATATCACCCAATTCTTCCAGAAATTCATTCCTCTCCCTATAACCATTGGGCGCATACAGATTTGTTAATACCCATTCAAAATCATTGTCTACTTGCTGAAATTTTAAGGTCATTGTAAATTTACCCACAAGCTCTTTAGTTCTAGTCAACATCTCATCTCTCCAAATGGCCACTATACCCCCTGAAGATGCCAACTAACTTCCCTACCCCTCCATAGACTTCTAGCCCATCTTCTGTCAAACTCTGCCAGCTTGGTTTCCTGAAAAATGATTATATCAGGATTTTCTTTCCTTATCACCTCCTTAATGATTGAAACTTTCCTAGCACTGCCTAAACCTTGGACATTCCAACTTAAAATCTTCATTTTCAACCTTCTTTTTCCTTGGTTCCTCCCCCTCTTATTACTTCTCTTCCTATTTACTCCCTTTTATCCTTTCCCTTCTCACACTATATTTCTTATCTCCAACACTTTAGTCTTTCAACTTCAACCAATTTCCCTTTTATCCTTTCCCTTCCCTTCACCCTTATTTTTCCTTAAGTTTCATATCATTTGGGTTCTTTACGATGCAGCCAAGCTTCCCAACAAAATTGGCCCCATCCTCATCTTTGTTATTACTCTCTAAAGAACCCTCTCTCCCTTCACCTCTATCTTCCCCAATTTCTACCACCCTCTCCCTCAAATTACCTCCCTCCTCATTTTCTTTGAAATTACTTTCCCCTTCTAGTTCTTCCCTCTTTAACTCTTCAAATAGGACTCTATTAACTCCCAAATTATACTGCCTTTCCCCTCCAAATCAACCACCACATTCTTTCATTTTCTCTCTTCCACATCTTCCCTCTCATTTAATGCTTGGTCCGCTCTAACATGGGCTTACAGATTTCAATTAGGTTGGGTACCTGGAGAAAAGCTAACAGGGACGGAGCAAGAGTTAGTATCCAAAACCAAAATGACAATAGTACCTGAACAAGAGGGCTGGGTAGAGGCAGCTTCTAGGATTGAATGCTCCATTATCCTTCCCTATTCATTTGGTTTAGTAACACTCCCTAACATTAGAGATTTGTTGGAAAGATCCACCCATCTCTGTTCACTCTTGGATCACTCCTATTATTCTGTCACTCATCCCCAACTAGAGTCTCTCTAACAGGCCTCTGAATATCCTCAACAATTCCCTTTTTTATAATAAAGAAAATTTCATTAAACAATAAAAAATAGCACAATCCAGCTTGGGTGTTAAGGCAACACCCACATACATAAAATTGAAAATACATCAATAAAAGAAAGTTTCAATATCATCTCTAAAACCTACTACAACCTCATCTTCAAACTGCAGATGGGTGACTATCACCTCATTTCTGCCTACCCTCCAGCCTCTAAGCAACCTAGACTGATTAGCCTTATTGATGATACAAGAATATAGTAATATACAGCACCATCACCATTACTCACTACATATCTTATGATCTTCAGTGGAGCTCTCACAGTGCTACTACCCTACTCTAAAGATCCAAAGGCTCTTATGAAAACTTTGCATCTGTGAACTTTGGTATCATTTCCTTATCTAGTTACAATGGGTGGAGAATAAGCCTTAGTTCAATGATTTCTTAATGGTAAAATCTATTGGCACCACATGCTAAGATAAGCATGATCTTGAACCAGGATAACTAGTCTAAGCTATGCTTTCTCAAGTTTGGCTCATTGATGTACACGGTTTTATATCATGAACCAAGTACCCACAAGTAACACAAAAACCATTACATATATCACGTATTAATCTTATGCCTTATGACTTACAAGCTACAACTTACGAGCAAATACTCGAGTCAATGCAACTGAGCCTTAACCACATGTATTTGGGGTGCTGGATATCATTTAAAAACAAGACAATAGAAAGATACATAGCTAACCTGAACTGCCGAGATACTAATAGCACCATCAATAACTCCAGGTCTGAATCCTAAGCCCTGCAACCACAGCACAGTCTGATCATAAGTCTATGGAACCAATGTCACAAACTCACTGACCATGAATTATCAATGTGATAACACCAAACAAGAACTTTGACTAAGGAGAATGTAACAAGTAATTGTTAAATGGCAGAAATCATGGAATTAGTAAAAGCAAGGATGAAACCATAACAGAGGCAAGAGAAATCCAAAATCAAAACCACAACCAGAACTCTGGTAAAAAAAATCCAAACCAGGACTATATTAAAAATTAAAAAAGAAAAAACAGTTCAATAAATTTTGCATCGTAAGGCAATTACCAGACACTAGAAAGGAAAAGAAAAGAAAAGAAAAAAGCATAATAAACATACAAAACAAGAAATGCTAAAATTTTGCACAAATAACCTTACTCATACCAGACAATTTTTTCCTTTATGGTCCTCTTATATGTCTAATTTGCATTTTTACAATATAGTTTGTTGACTTGTTGCTCTTCAAGGAAAATTAAAGGGAAAAAATGCATACAAACCCATGATATCCGATAAAGAATAAAGTATGAACTATGAAGTATAAATATCAATGTGGAAGAATGGTGAAGAAATTGGTTCTAAAGCTGTGAAAACTCCTCCTCCCTTCGTCGAGGGAGCTGACCCTAAGTCTAATGAATTACAGGATGTTGGTGGAGAGGGACAAGAATCGAACGTGAGGATGGATTAGGGTATTACAGTGTAGGAAACACAGAGAAAGGTCTTCCAAGTGGGTAGGTCGTCAGGAAGTGATTCTTTCACC